CTTCCTTCTGGGGTAAATAAATCTCTTCTAAATAATACTCAAATATGTTAAGTACCCATCACTCTGCTCTTCTTGAGCAATCTCCCCTGAAGTCCAGCCCAGACGGGTCCCACAGCTGCTGTCTGGGCAGCTCCCTGTGTCCCTGTTCTGAAGGTTCCAATCTATTGTATCCTTTGTTTTGGGGGGGTCCCATGTCTCCATCTTTTCCCACCTGTGATGTGGTACACTCCCCATCAGCTTTTGGGAAAGGAAGCATTGAAGGAAAAATTATTGAAAACTTCTGTGTCTGAAATATCTTTACTGTCTACAGCCACACCACCCTGAGTGCACCCAATTTCATCTGAAAATATCTCTTTTTTTTCCTCTCATTAATTGCTTCTAGGTTGCAATCATTTCTCCTCAATATTGTGAAGGTGTTCTCCATCGTTTTCCAGCTTATAATGTTGCTATAGAAAGTAATGATAATCTGATTTTTTTTACCCTTTACATAAAACCTATTTTTTCTCTCTGAAAATGCTTGTACCTCTTTTTTGTTGTTGTTGTCTTCTGCAATCTGAAATCTCACTATGATGTGTCTAACTATGGGCCTATTTTCATTCGTCATACCGAGCATGTGATGGATAATTTCAATAGAGAAACTCAGGTCGTTTAATGATCAATATTTTTTCTCTATTTATGTCTTTAATGATGTCCTCCCTTCTACTTCTCTAGGCTTTCTTTCTGCAAATCCAATGTAAATTTTGAAACTCTCAGTCTTGTCCGCTAATTTCTTTCTCTTTTCCAATTTAGATCAGTTTTTCTTTAATTTTACTTGCTAGGTAATTTTCTCAACGTGACCTTTCAACCTTTCTATCAAAGCATTTCATTTATGCTAACTATTTTTAATTTCAAAGGTATCTTTTTGTTGTCTACATATTCTTTGATACAGCATCCTATTCACAGAGACAATGTCCTGTTTGTGGATAATATTATTTGGCCCTTACATCCCCTGCCTTCTAGTATGCTTTTCTCCGCAATTTGTGTTTCTTTGTTTCTTCATCATTGTAGTTGGGTCTATATGACAGGACTCAAGGTGACGTCACACTGCCTCTCTCTGTTGGCTTTTTTGTTTAGTTCTGTTTTGTTTTGGCCTCTGCATTTAACACGGAAAGCTTTTATAAAGGGCATGTTGATCCTTGACTGCTTATATTTAAGACTGGAACATTAAAAAACTTATTGGAGGGTCTGTGTATGAGACAGGGAATCATGACTCTTCACTGTAGGCTGACCTGAATGAATGATTCCTTAGCAAATTTTTGGAGTCAGTATCTTCAGTATTTTCTCCTGATATAATCAGGTTCTCCAGAGGTGCCTGTTCAGATTCTTGCCTGCCAGTGTTGTGTGTTAACTTTCACTGAGCCTCTTGTTTTCAGGATGGTACGACCTCCCTCAGCTAATGCTGATGTCTCTCCGTCCCAGCGTCCCATCTTTCCCCACATCTCCATATAATCCATTGCTAGGGTGGAGGAAAAGACATTCGCTTGGCTCCTGGAGTTGGGGAGGGATCTGGGGGGCTAATTGCTTCCTAAATTGACTTTGAGCCAGTGGTTCTGTTCAGTCTCATATTCTCACCACTTCTTAAGTTGCCCGGTGTTGCCAAGTCTTGAGCTCTTGGGAAATTCTGCAGTGTAAGGCAGATTGCTTCTTGGTTTTCCCCACTGCTGGCTTAATGTTTTATTTTCTCAGCTTTCTAAGTCAGTTAACACTCACCCCGCCTGCTTCCCACAACTGTGTTGCTATTACCTGCTCTTTCACTCCCTGTCCTTGGAGGTCCGTGCCTGTACCCTCCAGCAGTCCCTCCTTCTTCATGTTCAAACATTTGAAACTCCCTTCCCATGATTGTGGCCAGGACCTGAGACTTGCTTCTAACTATAGAGTATGACAAAAGTTACGGGATGTCCTTCCCCTGATTATCTTATATTATACCAGACTCTGTCCTAAGAGCAGACTGGAGTTAGAGAGTCTCTTTGCAGGCTTAGTGATGTAAGTGGCCAAGGTGGAGAAGCCCACGTGGCAAGGAAATGTGGGTGGCCTCTAGGGTTTGAGGGCAGCCTCTAGCCAAGGGTCAGTGAAAAGCCACAATTGTCATGCCCACCACTGCAAGGAACGGATTCTGTCAACAACCTGAATGAGTTGTAAGTGGATTCTTCCCCAGTTGAGCCTGTGGGTGAAAACACAGCCCAGCTAGCACCCTCCTCACAGCCTCGTGCATCCCTGACCAGAGGACTAGCTAAGCTGCATCTGGACTCCTCACCCAAGAAAACTCTGAGATAATTAATGTGTGTTGTTTTAAGCTGCTGAGTTTGTGGCAATTTTTTTACGCAGCAGTAGAAATCTATTATAATAGCAATAAACTATTACAATAGAAAACACAGCAACATAAAATGATTACAATGCCTTTCTCTTTTTTTGATCATTTTATTATTGTTTTAGTAGCTTTTGAGGTGAATGTGTGTGTAATCAGTGGATTAGACAAACACGACACATGGGATGTGATCAAACACACTTTTATTTTTTTCACCTCTTGTCATCCTGATAAAATGTATTCAGTGGTAGAAGTTTTTTCTTCCCATCAGATATACTCCAGCTATACTCCATCATGCCCAGGTACTAACGACATTTTGGTCACTTTAAATACTAATAGTTTGGTAGTAAGGATGCCCAGTCTCATAGAATAATAGAAAACTACAATCATTTAGCATTAAATTTCCCTTCCCCAGCTGAGTGCTGCTTTGGGTTGGCCACTTGCACTAGCACATCTTCCCTTGCTGGGTGAAAATTTTGCTTAGTTTTTCTCACTCTCCTTCCACCCCACCTTGGGCATGGAGGTTTCTGGTTAATAACTGGATATAATAAGTGAAGGAGCATTCAAGAACTACCATAGAAATTCCCGTAGCCCTGACCTCTCACCTGAGATTCTTTTAACCTGTGCAGGTTCTTCTGTATGCCAGGTGGTCACCTGTGACTCCTTCTTCATCCCACAGTCTAGCTTCACCTCTCACTCCTTGATGCTAGGATCCCTCCACCTCTTCGGATGGCCCTATCAGACAGGACCCAGGACAGCCCCATGCTGGCTCTCTCTCTTGCATGTCTCACCATGGCCCATGGGGAAGAGCATAAATCCTTTGCTCTGACAAACACTAGGCATGCCGGCTGGTCTCAACTAAGTGCACTCAAGGCTCTACTACCAGAGCTGTAGCCACAGTTCCAGGTGAGAATCAGACCCTGGGCAGCCATGCACTCTAATTTTTGTGGCCCCATTGAAAGCTATCTGAGAAATCTTCTCTTACTAGATGTGAGGTCAATGGCAGACATCCCTCCTTCTCTCACCTTTGGTGATAGGTGGGATGAGGAGGCCTATGGAGCAGCTTTCTCCAAGGAAATCCTTCTCATAAAATTCTCTTTTGATGATGCATATCTTTGTGGGGATGGAACCATCTAACTGTTTCTCGGTCATTCCCTTTGAACCTCTCGCTTTGGTATTTCATCTGTGGTGTGTCTTGGTGCCTTTTGGAACTTTACATTTGAATTTTCCCTACGTGTGCCTATTTAATACCCCACCATTAACTAGAAGTTTTCCATGCTCTCTTACTTGCATATCATGAAGGTTTTCCATGTCTGGAGGCTAAGAGATACCCCTAAGACTCTGCAACTCCCAGGACAGCAAGGATGAATCAAAAGACTTGGTTATTCTGCGCACTGTGGTCAGGGCTGAAACTCAGTGAGCTCAAAGTGGTGGAAGCATGGAAGGAAAAGCTGCTTCACATGACGTTCATTCACCTGCTGCTCTGGGGTCTCACCCAAAAGTCACACTGGCTATACACAAAAACAACTTCCAAAAAGTGCCTACTGTGTATTGTGAAAGAAAATCAGGATGTTTTAAGGTAGCTCCCTGGAAGCTGACAAGTAAATCCTCCCTCAATTTCCCTCTTAGGTAGATAGAATTCTGGGAGTCATGAACCAGGTGTGTAACCTCACAAATATTTCTTAGGATGGTAGGTGATTTTTAAGGCTTTCATGGAGCTATAGAAATGGACTAGAAACCAAAAATCCTAAAAATCCCGAATTTTTAGGATTTTTTAAGATTACTGGCCTCACAATCTTTGGCAAGTCACTTCACCTCTCCGAGACCCCACGTCCTCCCCCCTGCACTAGGTCTGCCTGGACACTTCACTTTGCAGGATTGGGGACCAGGTGAAAAATACTGCATTACATGTCAAATCACATTACTCCATATATTTTCTGATAAATGGCTGCAAAGCTATGTGAAATGGAAGTTTTCATATCATTTCTGATTAACTTTCCAAGTTAAGTGACTGAACCCAAAAAGCAAAGACGAACATAAAATCCAACTGGAAAATTTGGAAGGGAAATGACTCTTCTCTAGGAAATTTGCACCAATGACTTTTGAAAAGAAAGAGATTGCCCATTAATTTATCTAAAGCTATTTCATAAAGTTTTCTTACTCCAATACAGATGATTGGAAATGCCATGGGAATAATGCTATTTTATGAAAAAGGGAACCACATTTCGTGGTTATGAGAAGAAGGTACAACTGACACTATTTCCAACACAACCTACTCTTCCGCACTTACAGAGCAATTTCTTTGAATCGACCACATGGAAATAAATTTTCTTTTCATTTAATTGAAGACAAAGGAGGCAGAGAGAAAGCCGCTGAAATCTCCTTGTTTTATTTCTAGACTCCTAAATCAAAATCCCATCTAATACTGAGCATAGTTTCTTCACTGACATTTAGCTCTAAATGTCAGGTTGTTCCAAAGTTTTTTCCTTGATTTTATGGTTGCTTGTCTTATTCAGTTGATGAAAATTGAGTTAGTATGATATCGTTGGAGGAATCTCCAGTATGGGAAAGTGCATAATTGCCTGAGGGGGGAAGAGAGGATAAGAATTATTGCTACCATGTTGGGACCAAGCATGAGACCAAGGTGAAAGTCAGCCTGTGGAATTTCTGACAACTGGCAACAGTTTTAGGAAGGTGAGAAAGACGAAGAACAGGGTTGGTGGAGAAGAACAGCATCTCACTGACACCTGGAAGCTTGCACTGTCAAGCATCTCCCATGAGAGAAGAGAAGCACCATGTTTTTCAGATCTTGCTGGGAAATGAGATAAAGTAGATCTGAGATCACAGCATGTCATTGCTAGAAGGAACCTCAGTGATCTCTTAGTTTTTCTGATTTTTACTGATGAAGAACAAATGCTCCAAAAGGTAAAGAGATGTGTAAAAAGCACTCAGGCCGGTTGGTGCCAGTGATAGCAGGACCCAAGGGCGCTGGATGAGCACATTCTCCAGGCACTTGTACTTTATCTGAAATTCAAATAATTTTGATAGGAATCTAAAATGCTTTGCCCATTTTCCTACCTAAATGGTGATATTAATAAAACTTAATGTGAAATGGGACTTGAGCTCTTAAGTATGACTTCAATTCACCTTATAAAGCAAAGTCTCTTCCTCTACTCCATGCCCCACCCTTCTCCAAGAATACTGTGACTATTTGCAATGTTTAAATACTAGCCAAGGCCGGGCGCGGTGGCTCACGCCTGTAATCCTAGCACTCTGGGAGGCTGAGGCGGGCAGATTGTTTGAGCTCAGGAGTTCGAGACCAGCCTGAGCAAGAGCGAGACCCCGTCTCTACCAAAAATAGAAAGAAATTAATTGGACAGCTAAAAATATATAGAAAAAAAAAATTAGCCGGGCGTGGTGGCGCATGCCTGTAGTCCCAGCTACTTGGGAGGCTGAGGCAGTAGGATTGCTTGAGCCCAGGAGTCTGAGGTTGCTGTGAGCTAGGCTGACGCCACGGCACTCACTCTAGCCCAGGCAACAAAGTGAGTCTCTGTCTCAAAAAAAAAAAAAAAATACTAGTCAACTCATTGCTGAATATCATTGACTTTGGTAACCACCAATATATGAATATAGAGCCAATGCATGTCATAGGCGGAGGAGACAGTGCTCTTCCACACTTGGCAGGTGTGGCTCCCCCTCCCTGGGGACACCTTGGGAGGAGGGCGTGTGCAGCACTGGGGCACAAGCACGTGGCCCCATGCCTGCTGCTCAGCGGCTGGCACAGAGGGGTCATTCTCCAGTAGGGACACATTGGTGTTAGAATAGCCGCATGCCTTCACCCTGTGGCTTCAACGACCAATGCCACAGATTTATACAATATCTAATTCAGGATGTGGAGATAATTTGTGGTGAAAATACATAATGGCACATCCTGGTCTCCATGAGCATCAAATTCCCAGCACTGTTCTACCAGCCCTGAGCCCAATCCAGGTGACCTCTGTACACATGGCCGCTGATACGCTCACACTTCCCACATGAATTTCTAAAACGTTGTCATTGAATTTTCTCATATGATGTATTCATATTCTCTCTTCACACCTTTTATAACCTTTGGTTTTATTGTAACTCACCTTGTCTTTTCAGTGGGTTGAAAGGCTTTGAGAATTTGGGTTTGGCAGATAAATCTGACGAGTTTTGCTGCACAAAAGAAAAAACAAGTTATTTGGACATTAATAGTATTCTTTTAGTGTATTAGTGTTATTAGTGTAATAGCATTGTTTTAGTCTGCATTTTCTGACTTCTCGATGTCATTAATGATCCTTCCTTCCTTCTATATAGTGTGTTATTCTCTTTTCAACAATGTAGAGTCATCAATGTCTTACTCTCCCTTTTGCTTTAATCTATCTAAAAATATCTAAGAACTTATTTCCAAGTGAACTTTGCATTCCTGTATATTTTTACAACTTCTAACAACAAACTAGAAAATAGTTTTGAAGGAGATATCCTTCTGCATGTCCATGCTTATATTTCTTTGGTTCAAACATTTGTCACTAAAAGAGACCCGTGGACGAAAAACAATACTCCTGCTAAAAATGGTCTCCTTACTCTTGCACATCTTAGCATTCAGATGTCTTTGTGAATAATCCTTTAGTCATTGGAGCAGAAGCCATATAGAGTTCGATACTTTAATAACCCAATTATCAAACTGAAATAAAATATTTTAGACAAAAGACCGTGTACTTATTGAGAAAGATAAAAGTGTTTAGAGACATTGTATTGTTTTTTACTCATTGATTCACCGTTCATTTATTCATTAATTTAACAGCTCATATTAAGTGTCTTTGTGAGCCAGACACTGTTTTAGGCACTGGAAATATCAGAAGACCTAAGTTCCATTCCCTGCTATAGTCCGTGTCATGAGGAAACTGAATCAAGATGGGAGAAAAAGTCCTTGTCATATGCAGTATGCAGAACCCAGTTTTCACCGAGATATATAAGTGGCTACCTCATATTGAGCTTGAAAAAATAAAAAAGTTATAGAGATAGAAATAAAAAGAATTTAAACTTTTAAAGCAAAAGAATTGATTTTCTAGAATTCAGGGTTTCTTTAACTCTCCTCCTCCTCCTCCTAAGAGAAAATCCTAAAGTCAGAATCATTGCAGTTAAAACTGCATCCTGCCCCATTTGGAGAGAGGAATCTTAGGTTGCCACACCCGCAGGAACTCTATGTGGTCTGGGAAGGTGTATGGGTCTAAGCAGTTGGTCTAATAACAGGACCTGAGTCATTGAAACTAAGATGTGGCTCTATAAATCTATTCCAGGGGTTGAGGGGGTAGGTCTGCATAGGCCACCAGAGTCTGTATCTTGGTGGAGAGTTACAGAGAACATGGCTAGGAACAGCAAAAGGTCAAGAAAGAGCCCGGAGTCCTCAGCATGGAGAGGATTTTGGGTCCCCACAGTCTTTTGGTGACTTGAGGACAGTCCTTGCTGAAACCACTGCTGGCTTCCTCTTTCATGCATTCCCTTCATCGACTATTGTGTTCTCACTGCTCTTTTTACCTCCCCTTTTGCCATCTCTCAGTGGACAGCCTTGCCCCCTACTTAAAAAAAATGTATTAAGGTCTGAACTCTCAACAGCATGACCCCAATCTGTACATGTGACTCATTCTGCATCAGTCTTGTACTTCCTGTGTTAAGAGAAGAAGCTAAGAGAGAGAGAGGGAGAGAGAGAGAGAAGCTAATCCTGCCACCTTCGTCTGACCGTTCAACCTGTCCTCCCAGGAATCCTTTCCTGTCCATTATCCTCCCCCTCTCACTTGTTTTCAGGTTTTCAGATTCTCTCCTTGCTGGCCCGTCCCTCCCAACATCTGTGCTTGTCACGTCCTGGCAACGTGAGCTCTCGCCTGTCACTGCTGGTCTTGTGTCTGCATCTGGTTACAACCCTCGCTCCCTTTTCACTCACAAGCGAGTTTCTCGACAGGAATATTCGCTGTCTCTCCCTCACCTCATCATCTATAATCTAGGTTCCCGCTTTTTCATTCAAACTCCCTCAGAAAATTGCAAATACTCCAATTGTCTTTGCAAATGGATATTGATTTTAAAGCAAATGAGCCACCTAGTCGGATAGCAAAATCTCATTTTTATCACCGACTTTGGAAAGAAAATCGGGAAAGGGGTCCAAATCCAGAAGCAGCAAAGCCCTCACCGACCACTGCTGCCTTCTGGAAAGTGTCAAAGTGTCGCACTGTCAGGCACGGTTTGGGGAGAAACACTGGCAGGCATTTCCGCTTTTGCTTTTATTTTAATTTTGGGTGTTTTTCTCTCTTTTGTTTTCAAATAAGAAAAATTCTGATTTCCTGCTTTGCAGGGTGGGGACTGTCCTGTCTTTTATATGCACTAAAGACTTTTCTTTGATGTAGCCACATGTTCTGTGACCCCTCCTTTTCTTAAGACGGTGACTCAAATAGCTTCACATTTTCCTGCTCAAGGGATTTTAGTTCTTCAAGAAAATGCAAATCAGAGAATTGTTAAAACTTTGTGCTTCAAGTAAGTAACTAGTCCAACACTTAATTTTTTATAGTTGACAAAATTGAAACAGAGAGACGAAGTGACTCTTGTAAGATCATACAGCCAATTGGTTATGGAGTCAGAAATACTGAGCAGGTCTGCCGGCTCACAGCTGCCGTTCCCCAATTCACAGCAATGCCTTCTACTGCAAAATGCAGACCAAGGAAGATTTTTCAATGCCAGAGGATAATTTTCTATTGATTTTTATTTCAAAACATTATTTTGTCATCTGTAAAAATCTCTAAATGCCATATAGGGTTGCACACAGTTAAGTCAGTTGACTTTTACCAAACACAGAAATCTCTGCTTTAGAACTCTTTCTGAATGGTGGTCAGTGCCTTGCTGAAAGACAAAAGTCTAAATTAACACAGAAAATACAAAATATGCATGCGAGTACTTTTGTTTCTAACTATACCATCCTCATACTATCCTTTCAGTCGTGTGGCAAGGAATGAAATAGGAATCTTCCATTTCCACATCAACTTGTCAGTTTGCAGCCTTAAGAGATAAAACTGGAAAAGACAAAGTCAGTGACACCAAGCCTAACAGAGAAAATTCAGAGACAGCATTTTGTATAGTAGACGTTGATCGAATTTATATATGAGAAATTAATCAAGATCGCCCCCTTTACTTTTCTAGCGAAGGAAAAATGGTCTAGAGAATGTCCAGAAAGTCAGGTGGAGGAAAGGACCTTGCTAATTCTAGATATTGGCAAGCAAGTCAGACAAAAACCAGTGATGTTGTTCAAAGGTATTCGCTCACAACAGACGCGCACAGACCTCCGTGATCGAGCACCCTTCCAAGTTCCCACACCTTCACATTCGCTCACTCACTCAACAACTCTTGACTGAGCATCGACCATGCACCAGGCCCCGTGCCAGATACCAGGAATATGGTGATCGAAACCCAAGGGATTTACACAGAAGGGGGCTTGCTGCAAGATTGCATAAAGAGAAAAATGCAAAATTGAAACTTCAAGCATTGGATTCATGGCAGTAGGAAATTAGGAGATAATTACCTTTGCTGTTTGCTTCCAAGAACTTAAGGGAGACAACTTATTGAATAGAAGTTGTCGCAGCTATAATGGCAACAAAGAAATATTGAGGAGATGCACATATGCAGTCACACATAAACAAATCAAGAACAAAACTGCAGGTTGAAACTTATTTAATAGCATTATTAATATTTTCTAAAAGCACTTAATAGGCCAGGACTGGATATCTGATAGAAAGATTAGTTTCTTCACCTCTTTACCTATAAACAAAACTAGCATTAAACAAAGAACAGTACCAAAAGCCATAATAATTCAGATTCTACACATTAGCAGTTGGCAATAATTACTAAATTGAAGTTTATCTTTGAAGAAAAGGGTTTCCTAACCATGTGAATGCTACAAACAAGGCAATTATTTAGTACAATTAAGAATAGCAAACTGCTTCTTTGTAAATAAGGGTCTGTGCATGTGCAAAATTGTTGCTATTATTAGCAACAATTGTTCTAATTATCAAATATTCTTATCTTCCTATTAAAACAAACACTCTACATCTATTAGCTTACTGCCTTCGCCTCTCTCGATAAATTGCTCAAGGCTTGGGTTTAGGAAACAAGTTTATTTAATTTTTTATTCTACTATATTTCACTTAAATTGGTTGTCCTTCTTTAGGAATTTTATTTAATGTGAGAGGCTATTTAACATTTACTGTATAAAACTCTACAAATATTGAAGTAGGTGTATCTTTCAGCATATTCCAAGTAAATGGGTAAACTAATTAAAGAAGAGAAAGGGAATTCACTCCTTAGGAAAGTAATTTTTCTATTGAATTATTGCCATACCATGATTTGAATTATAAAAATTCAAGATAAAGAGAATTTCTCCTTTTTTTCCATACTGTTTACATTATGTGTTTGATTAGTTCTATATAGCTTTATTAGCAGTGACTGTTTAGTTCCTTTGTCTCCTGACTGAGCCTACCTTTTGTAAAATCATAGAAGTTTATTACAAAAGTACCCATAGTCCAACCCCTTATTATATGAATAAAGGCCTCAGAACTGAAGGAGAGAGGCTTAAAAATGCCTGGGTTAGAGGGTAAAGAGAGAAATAAATGCACGTACCTTACTATCCAAGAGTATTCCAAAACATAAGATGAAAAACCCCTTTAAAAAAAAAGGAATAAGTCACATGTATTGTATTTTTCTGTTCCAGGAAAAAAAGCATTTACACACATAACACTATTCTATCGCCCAACACTGAAATTGTTTTCTTGTCTGTCTTCCTGCTAGACTGTAGGCCCCTTGAAGGCAGGAACATGGTGTGACCTCCACAGTGCATGGCACAACACAAAGTACTCAAAAAACTTTTTTATTGAATGTGTAAATAAATGATTGAGTGAATTAAGTTTTGCGCACAGGGCTTCCTTCTCCCCTACTGTACCATTCCAACCCAAAACAAATAGCTTCCATTTGCTTCTGTATCTTAGTCTTTCTTTGGACCGGGCATTTAAGGTTGACTAAGTGTCTGCGATGGTGGCAGGTGTGGAGGGGTGTCAGCACCCTTTCCTTCCAGTGTAGCTCTTGGGGAACCCTTGGCAAAGGCTTTCTTGGACCTTGGAATCCTCCTTCCGGTCAGAGCACCTTCCGTTGGTGCCTGTTCAGATAGCATATCACCTTCCACTCCCAACAGGAGTTCCCTACACTTGTCACCATCGGGTTCCTGCCCTCCACAATTGCCATCTGTACAGCCACCTGAACGCTCTCTGGATGCCGAAAAGGTGGAGAACCAGCTGCTTCTAAGAAACACCTATTGGGTATTTACTAAGTGCCGGGCACTGTGCCAAGAAAAGTGCTACATTATCTCATTTAATCCTCACATGTATGTTATGATATAAATATTATTATTATCTCTATTGAAAGAGGAGAGAATTGAGAGACAGAGAGATCAAACAATTTGTTAGAGGTCACACAGTTAGTTAAGTGACACATTTGAGCCCAGACCTATTTAACTCCAGAGCTCAAACATTTAACCACCCTTTCCCTGAGTCATTGTCTGAGCTGGTCTGACAAAATCTGCATTAAACCAAGATTGAAGCCTCTTCTCCACATTCATCAAAACCTGAGGATGACTTTGTCCACCTACTCTCAACGTCCCCTGACTGTGGCATGTAAAACCCATCCTTCGTAGCAGGGTCAGCAAACTTTTTCTGTGAAGAGCCAGATAGTAAGTATTTTAGGTTTTACAGGCCATACAGTCTTTGTTGCAACTACTCAATTCTGCTGTTGTAGTGAAAACAGCCATAGACCATGTGTAAATGAATGAACTTGCCTGTGTTCCAATAAAACTTTATTTACACAAACAGCCTGCTGGTTGATGCTTGCTAGGCCTTGCTCTCTTGTACTCTAGGAACTTCCTTTGCACTGTTCAGAGTCAACCAGTACTTATGATTCGTTTCCCTTTCTCTGTGTGCTTTTTCAGGGGTCTGCACGAGAGAAAGAGGACTGAGACAGCAGCAAGAGGGATTAATGTTAGCTATGCAAATAACAGATTTAAAGCCCTGCAATGGGTTACCGAAAAAGTCAAATATTCTGCTCTGGTATAAGAGTAACTATTGAGGAAAAATGGATTTTTTTTTTCCTATTCACTGTTTCTGTGCAGTTTTGGTTACAGTCTTGCTGGAGGCAGGGAGATGAGATCTCCAGAGTGGTCTTAGTCTTACCAACCTGAGTTCTCTATGCGTATTCCAATTACCTGACAACGTAATCGGTTATTCTTATTGTTCTCACCTGGAATGCATTGAGTAAAGCAAAAATAACATGCCAAGCCAGGTTCTGGCTGTCCACCATTGTTCCTATACCAAAGCCCCAGGTAAGCCCTAGCAGAGGGGTCAGGATGAGGAGGCTCTTCCCCATACGGAAAGCAGTGGCCTTGTCGTCCTGGCTCAGTCTCTCTCCAACAGCTGGTCTCCAGAGCTTCCTGAGAACTAGCAGCACCACGGCCAAATTCACAGCCACAATAGTCAATGCAGGGACAACAAAAGCCAGGAGAGGTTTGCTTCCATCGGACCAGTTAAGCCAACACACATCTTTCCTTCTGTAGCTATTGCTAGGCTGTGTGATGGCAACGGTGATGACAGAGATAATGAGAGGGCACCCATAGCCCAGGCAGAACCCCACAGCCATCATCAGAGGCAGGGTAGTGTGATGGAACACGAAGATGATCCGGTAAGCCAGCAGGAGGCCGAGCATGAGCATCCAGAAGAACAAAGAGAGGTAGAAAAAGTGCGTGAAGAACACTGCAGCTGTGCAGATTCCAGGAGGGTCCACCTTGGTGTCCACAGTGGCAGCAATAATAAACCAAACATCAGCAATCAAGAGGGACAGGGCGGTGTTCACCATGCAAATATGACGTGTATGTGAGGTTTGGCTTTTCTTGATGTGCTTCCAAAACAGAGCCTCAATGACGAGGCACAAGATGAGGCTTCCAATGGAGATACCCAGTCCCATGTAGGTGATCCAAGTTACAACAGGAACAACAGCAGGGGGGACAAAGGGTGACATCAGCACAGAGAAGGAGGTCAGGTGAGTACATCGGCACATCACGGTGTCTGGAGTTTCATTCACCAGGTGGCAGCCTGCATTGTTCCACTGCAAATAACTGAAATCCCAAAACACACAATGAGGCTGGCTCAGGTTTGACTGTATCTTGGAAAAAGTCAGGAAAATTTCATTTATGAAATAGTTTTGGATAACCGTGGATACCACAGGCCCGTTGACCTGAGCATTTTCATTTCTGGTAATGGGTAGAATGTTCCCCAGGGTCAACGAGGCCATGCTGATGATGGTTTCTGGAAGGGACTTCTGGAATTGGTCTGACCCAATTGACACGTGGCCTCTGATGGGAATGGAGGTATTTGGGGGAAACATTTCAATCTGATAGTTGTAACCATTTTTAAGTTGGCTTTTGGTCACTGGAATCCCTTGCCAGTTAATGAATTTCCCAGAAAAATTCAGGGGCAGGGCTTCCGGAGGCACCAAACTGCTGATGTTTTCCAGTGTCTCTAGTAACTGTGAGCTGGCATGCTTTCTTGCTTGCAGTAAGACTGTCCAGTTGCTAACTGAGGCTGAATCAAGGATATGGTCAGCTATATTGATGACTTCCTGAAATACAAGGATGAAAGTCAGTTTGTGTTTTTGAGTAAACAGATAAGAGGACTAAGAGTGCACAGTCATTAGTATTAAGTATAGGAAAAATGCCCAGAAAATTGGCTCAGAGACGAACCACATTAGAACTCATTAATTAAATTCAGCTCAGTTGCCCCGCACAGTAGAAGCTTTGGGCAAAGAAACTTGGGTCAGCAAAATCGCAGACGTTCCAGGGTGATCACTACCCCAGGGGATTCATAAGCACACTGGGGCTTCCCCATGGAGGAGAAAAAGTCCTGCAATTTGGGCTGCACGAGTGCATTTCCTTCTCCCTGAGTTGGCAAAAATGACTACACTGCTCTCGGGCTGAAGCTCAAAGATGGAGACATTACTTCGAACTGCTTTCTCATATGATGTTTGTTTGCTATTATGATGTTTGCTAACATCAGAAATTCTAAATTCACA